CATTTCAATCGTCTCCCTTCCTTATTTTCTGCTTAGTTCTGAGCTCCCCATATCCGGCAAAACGTTGGGATTTAGAACACTCCATCTGGTGTCCATGTCCAGCCACTTCCGATCTCTCAATCCATAAACCTCTTTTCTGATAGCCTCTTCGGTATGAGTTGACAATCCTCCCCCACATAAACAGTACCCCATGATAACAAAACCTTATAACAACTTGATCTGCAGAGATCGTCTGAAGATTCTCTAAAAGAAAGCATGAGCTAGGAAAGCGTTATTGTTTCCTCATACATCGTTTTGACGCTCAATTTCCCCAGTAATTGGCCTATCTTTCTTGAAGGCTTGCAAGATGGTGGCATTAGGAACCTGGCCGAAGTGTTGGCTAATTCCTTATTATGTCTCAAATAATGTTTTCCTTCATCCTATTTCTCAATATTTTGGAATATTTAACAATTAATCCTACAGAATTGTTGTTCTCAACTAAGATTTTTCTGGACTTTTTCGTGATTTCATTACGCCTACCTCAACACCATAAGTATGCTTGGATAAGAACTTAAAAAGGAAACCAGCATTTTTGTCTTTCCTATATACCCAGTTTTCTTCCTTCTTTACTAACTAGGACATCTAAAAAGAGTAACTTATTCTCTTTTTCTAACTCCATAGTGAATTAAGTCGCCTCATCTACTATATTCATTAAATCAAGGAAGTCATTTAAGCACTCTTTGCCATGCTGCCAGATAGCAAAGTAATCAGCCAAACATCTGACCAATAGTTTCGGAACCAGGAGGGACTCTTGAAAAAACCGGACTTCCAATCGAGCCATGTAGTTATTAGCTAAAACGGGAGAAAACCACGATCCCATAGCTATGTCCTGATTCGCTTGTATAATTTGCCATTAAAGATAAAATATGTACTATTCATAATTAATATGGTCAATGGCATTATTGACTCCTTGCTCATCCTATTTCCCGATATTATTTCTGGGCTTAGATCTAAAGTTAATCCTAATGCCTGTATGGCCCCACTTATCGGTAGATTCATGTGCCTCGATACTACATCAAAACTTACGACGTCCTTCACGGGACGGACGAAAGCTCAGCACGGAATCATCGGGGTCGTAAGACAGCGAGCCGAGGTCTTCTTCGCAAAATTCAACAGACAACAGTCCAAGGCAACCCTCCTGTTGTATCCGCTGAGGGCAATCTACGAATCTCTTCGACCTGCCTTCTCAGAGGAAATGAAAGGTATGCCAGTATCAGTCTATTAAGGGATTCTTAGAAAACCGGCTCCTCTTCATATCTTTTAAAATATTATCTCTTTAACAAATAATAAATCGAAACTGTTTGTGGCGTGACTCTCCATTTCGAGGGGAATGTTGGTTGTGAGGAATTCGTGATGTGGTCTCACCGGAAACCGAAAGAGGATTGCTGCGTAGGAAAGACTGTTGAATTGTGCGAACAAGTTCTCTGCTCAGCGTCCTGCGACCCCGATGAAACTGTGCTGAGCATTCGTCTGTACCGCCATGACAGACATCATCAAAGCAAGATTTCATACTTTACGAAAGAGATGAAAAATATACTAAACCAAAGGAAGATGGCCGGCTGCAACATCGCGATCTTAATGAGGCCTCCCATGATTTAGTTGGCTACTTTAACCTTCCTCTACATGCTTGCAAATGAGTAAAGTTTGGTCAGATACATTGTTAGGGGGACCTTCATTTCGAATTAAAGTGCATGAAGAAGAGATTCTTTTTTATCAATTTTTAAACTTTTTTGTTAAAAAAAACGCACTCTTAGTCATTTAATATTTTGTTGATTCACCTTTGACTTTATACAGGGGAATAGCTCGTTTGTGAAAACTTTCAGCCAATCTCATTGTCATATACGTGGTTATTTCTGCTCAATACGTCTTAATTGAATCTTGAAGTTCGTTGATATTTTTAGGCTTTAATATGCCTATGTTAGAATTAATAATCCCCCATAAGTTCTCAATTGGGTTCATGTCTGGTGATTGAGCAGGCTAAGGCAATAATTCCACATTTATTTCTCTGAAAAACTCTGATGCCAGCTTAGATGTGTTTTTGGTTGTTGTCTTGTTGGAAAATGAACTGATTCAAACTCATTGATGCAGCAGATTCAAAGAGGTTATTGGAAAGGATGCGCACATATTGAATAGCATCCATTTAATATTCTATAAAAACCAATTTTTCAACTCCATAATATGAAAAACATTCCCACATTATTACACTTCCACCTCCATATTTGATAATTTTGTCAATATGTTAAGACATTAGTCCTGTTACAGGCTCTCTACACACAAAGGACTTGCCAAAATGTTTGGCATTTGGCAAACTCTCTGCAGTAGTTCGTACCAAGCAAAAGTATGATAAATATCATACTTTTAATCATATTGGTAGAAATGGCAGACCGAAAATTTTTATCCACAGGTTTTAAACGTGATAAAACAGGAAATTATAATAAATCCTAAAAAATCACTTAGAAAACTTCAATCAGTTGTTTCAACAGAAACATGATCCTCTATATCCTACGTTTCTGTTAAGAATATACAGAATAGTATGGATATGTTTGCCTATCGTCCCATTCAGAAACCACTTTTGAGTAAAAAAAATGTCAAGCTCCGATTTGAATTGGCCCAGAAGTGGTTATTTTTTGGAATAGAGAGAATAGAGACCATCATATTCAGTGATGAGTCGAAATTCAACTTGTTCTATTTCGATGGTAAGTCCTTTGTGTGTAGAGAGCTTGAAACAGGACTTCTGTCTCAACATATTGAAAAAAACTGTCAACTATGGAGGTGGAAGTGTAATGGTGTGGAGATGTTTATAATATTATGGAGTTATAAAGTTGGTGTTTATAGAAGATAAAATGGATGCTATTCAGTATGTGCGCATCCTTTCCAATAACCTCTTTGAATCTGCTGCATCAATGGGTTTGAATCACTTCATTTTCCAGCAAGACAACGACCCAAAACACACATCAAAGCTGGAATCAGAGTTTTTGAAATAAAATAAATTTGTAATTATTGCCTTGGTTTCCTCAATCATCGGACATAAACCCAATTCAGAACTTATGTGGTATTATAAAGTCTAAACTAGGCATATTAAGGCCTAAAAATATCAACGAAATTAAAGATACAATTAAGGTGTCTTGTCAGAAATAGCCACGGATATGACAATGAGATTGGCTGAACGTATTCACATACGAGCTATTGCTCTTTCTAAAGCCAAAGATGAATCAACAAAATATTAACTGACTAGTGGTGTTTTTTTTACAAAATAGATTAAAAAATGATAAAATAGTCCAAATAAAACTTATTTAAAAAACGGAAATGTTAAATAATTTTAAAAAAATACAGCTATCTTATATATAATATCGAAATGTTTTAATTTGTGTCATTCTGACCAAAAAAGGATGGTGCGTTTTTTTA